AATAACGACTGATTATGTAACTAGAAGTTTTCGACTTTCTTTTTGAATATCGACTTGTCAAGGTTTGATATTATGAATGCCCTAAATTCCAGAATTAGTTAGCAGTAGTAGTAATTATCATTATTCAATCATAGTGCAGGGAATTTTTGAAGATCATTCTTGATGCATTCTAGAACTGATCTTCAAATTTACTATATTCCCTGACTGTATTTATACAATCATCTTTATATATTTTGTGTTTGCTATTATATAACTATCGCCAAAATGCTTGTAAAACATGAAAAATACAGAGTAATCGAATACTAGTTGGCCAGCACAATTCTAAAGCATTGTGTTCAGCATATAAATTATCTGTAATAATAATTTTAGGGCCAAGTTGAGGTCCACGATTATAAAATGCATTATTAGGTAGTATGGATTTGAGTAAGCAGATAGCATTTTCAATTGTAATTTCTGCTTCATCAGAAGTTAAAAATATTCCTAATGACAATGCTCCAATTGTATAACTTGTATAAAGTAGTATAATAGATGTATTAAGTAGGTCAAATGAGGCTAAAGCATCAAGATAGCACAGCTCACCCGATTGTTAAATTTTTTGATGAACTCGTTGAATTAGGTTTGTTACAATATATAAAATAAAAGAGGTATGTGTAGAAGAATTGTATTTTTGAAGAACAGCAATTTCATTCCCTAAATTATTATAAAAAGTAACCATTTCCTGTAACTGGTCAAACATTCTCTGTCCATTTCGATCTCCAAGTTGTGTAATACGAAATTGATTATAAAGATGTTTTAATAAACCTCTATTTGAATTTTTGCTCGATTTGCTAACAAGTGCACAAGCTCATCATCATCTAATGCCGACAAATGTAACTCATCTTCATATGTATATTGTGCTGAAGCTACCGAATGTTCTATTTTAAACAACTCAATATATTTGTTTTGAGATTCGATACTAACTGGCCTGAAACTTAGTAATGTAGCTGAATCAGGTAAATGATTATGTAAAAATATAAGATTAATTTCAAGCGGGTAAAAATTTTAGAGTTATCTTTTTCTATCCTAAAATTAAGTGTTGCTTTATATCCCGTATCTCTATTTCTTTGACTATCTGGATTTTAATTTCACAATTATTATTTTTTTGTTTTACAGTGTAACTATTGATGCAGTGCTGTTGTTCTCGAAAAATAACTTTAGACTCTTTAACAAGAAATGTCTGTGTTAATCTCATAGTAGTTTTTGATTTATCTTGAAATTGAGTTACTATTCTAATACATTATCTTTAATGTTTTCAATGTTAATATGTACAAATAAATCAACAATAATTTGTCCAATTATAACATTTTCTGCAGTAACTATTGGTTCAGGTTCACTATAATTCGTCACTTGATATAAGTAATTTGATGGAAGTATTTGTTGAAGTGGAATTGGTAAGTCGGATATACTAGATTGGTCATTATTCTAAAAATTTACAAAATTTTTAATTTGTAATATAATTTTTAGTCAACTATATAATAATAAACATACATTTAATAAAATATCCATCTTGTTGTCAAAAGAAAAGTGTTGCAAGTATTAAATTATTTTTATTATTAATCATATTTAAAATCACATTGGCATCCGATCATACCCGTGACTTCCGGAGTACCAACCTAATACACATTTTCCGGATGCTAAAAATTATAATAACTCTATCAAGAAAATTTCAATACAAATTAAGCTTAATTACACTGTGGTCACCAGAATAGCAAATAGGCTCTGTAACAGAATTTTTTAAGAGATCAAATATAGTATAGCAGACACCATCGGCAAAATTTCTGAAAGCCACATCACATGATCACGTGATGTGGTATTAGTGGCTTAGATTTCGCGTAATTGCAAATAAGCCATAATAGCCACTTCGTGTAATCATGTAACTAGTTCAAAAAGCTTGTAATTTAACCAAATTCAGAAAACACAAAATTGGAAATTAAAATAGGCCAGAATTGATAATTAACATCAACTTACATAATAATCTTAATGCTCCCAGTTTATAAGGTAAAGTATGTATCTATACAAACCAATATTTGAAGAATGACAGATTTTTTATTTATCTGCTTTAATTTGCACATGTTGATAAAATAAGATCATATTCGAATGCTAAATTATTGAAATTAATAAACGCCAGGTAGTAATATATTATACATTTGTGGAATTAAAGAAATTAGTGAGTGGGTTAGATGTTATATTGTGGGTTGGAGTTTAGTTTGGAATTGATCCAAAATATATTTAGCAAGTTTATGGACAAAATATAAAGGTAATACACATAGAGATAATTTAGTTTCAGGCATAATATAAAACATTGCAATAAGACTTTAACAAAATTCTAAAATAACTACCTGTTTTATGTTAATTATAGATCTGGTTAATTTGAGTAGATTTTGTTTGTTAGAATTTTAACTCAGTCGCATAAGATATATAGTAATACATAGGTAATATTTTTCATATATATTATACTTTTCGGATCTAAAACAACGTCATCTAATGACTAAGAATTAAACTTCTCGGAGTTTGATATTCATAATGATTTCATGTTATTCTATTATATGCTGTTAGTTTGGCATATTTCAGCATTAATTTTGATATGAAACTGCTAAAGTATATCAATAGTTTTATCAAAAATCAATACAAAATATGCTATATTAATTTCTACAGCATGTAAACTTCATTCTTTTTAAAGAAATTTGATACTTCAATATGACTTCATCTTTTATCTTCAACTAAATAAATTTCAATTTTTTTACTTAATATTTAATATACACGGGCTGATTAGCTATTGTATAATTATTATTTAATATATGAACCTTATAAATATATATTTAAATACATACATACAATATATTCTTTTTAAATAAAAATGTTGCCGCCACTTAAATCATTACAATCTATCCTTTCAAATGAAAAAAGTTGTATCAATTATTTAATCGAAAAAGGAGTTCTTGATAGTCAATCAATATGTAATTTATGTAGTAGCTTAGCAAAAAGATATGAAAAAGTATTTAAATATAGAAGAAAGCAATGCAGAATATCTGTCTCTATATTTAAAGATATATTTTTTTCAAAGCGCAAATTAAAAGTTAATGAGATTCTTCAAATTGGATATTATTGGTTAGCAAAAACTCCACATATCTCAATTAAAAACATTACAGGACACTCACCAAATACTATAACATATTATGCTAATTGTTTTAAGTATAAAAAAATGAATGAATTACCAGTTTTTATTTGGCAATATTTATATATTAATTTTTTAACAATTTCAAATCTAATAATAGAGCACTTGTTGGTCTTAATCTTCAAGAAACACAGGACAAAATCAGAGGTCCAGAAATTATAGTTGAAATTGATAAAACTAAAATCGGGAAAAGGAAATATAATCATGGTCATCATGTAAAAGGTTATAGTTTAAAAGATTTTACTTCATTTCTATATTTAAATATTAAATATATATATATTAATCTTTTCTTTTCTAGATGTTTGGGTATTTGGTAGTGTAGAACAGACTACTGGAAGAAAAATATTTGCCAAGGTTGTTAGCAATAGAACTGCTAAAACATTGCTTACTGCAATAGAGGAAAATATTAGCTCTGGATCTATAGTATACTCAGATATGTGGCGCTTCTACTTTAGAATAAATTCTGAATTGGGATTTCAACACCATATGGTTAATCATAGTCTTTATTATGTTGACCCCAATACGGGTATTCATACTAATACAATAGAGGGCCATAGAATGTGATTAAACTCTGGGTTTCCCAAGAAATCGTACTAAATTAAAAATCCCAAGTAGGGTTATATAATTACTGTGAGAATTACATAAAATCTATTTACAAAACTTATAAAAATTGTAATTTTGCAATATATATAGCTATAATTCTAGGCCATTTACATGATTATATATGGAGAAGACAAAATGAAGGTAATAATATTTAAGAAATTATAATAAATTGCTTAAGAGATACTATATTTCCCAAAGAAGAAGAAAAATGAGATGAAATTGAGAATATAGAAGAAATGATGAATAGAGAAGAAATAAATGAAGGAGAAGAAAGAGATGAAGAGAAAGAAAAGGAAGATAGTATTGAAAAATTAGAAAATAAAAATAATAATAATATAGAAATCATAGAAATTTTTTTTTTAAAAGTTAAGGAGACCTCTTTGGCCTGAAAGCTTTTATTAGGATTTGAAACAGTGTTTTATACGCAATTACAACGATG